AAATTGATGAGGTTATTCCCTCTAGGTGAGAAATCTAATCATCATTGTTTTTTATATTAACATGAGTTCCAAATGACTACGGTTGTGTTACATGTAACAAAAAACCTGGTCCGTCCACGGCACCTGTTTAGCAGCACTGAAGAGTAAAAATGAGTAGCTACCTGTTATCATGGAGTATTTAACAACTATAGCCAGATATTTACCTTAGGTGTAGCTCAACACCATAACAGACTTTAAAGAGTGAATATTCGATTTTCATTTCTTAGATGTACAGCAAACACAGCTCCAATTAAATGCTAATGTTGCTCTGAGTCTGCTAAATAGGTAACAATATACGCTGTCAATGTTCTGTTTTCAACTTGTTCCACTGCCTTAAATGGAATTCAATTAATGCAGGTTTAAAGTGCACCTATCATGCTATTTTTAGGCAATAGCATAGGTCTCAGATATATAAAAATATATAAAAAACATGTCTATGAAGTGTTTTGCTCAAAATACCAAACAGATCACCCATTCTAGCCATGCCTCATATCCCTCTATTTCACTTCCTGTTTCAAAAGTGCTGAAAAAAATAAATAATTTATTAAAAAAAAGGGGGGGGGCTGAGCTCATGCGGGAGATTCTACCGGCAGATACTGCGGTGATGAAACGCCATATCATGGATTATCAAGGATTATTTCTGAAACAGTATGGAGCTCAAAGGCTTTCTCTCTTGCCGGTTATACCACAAGGTGAGTTCCTTTTTATTTCCTGCTTCTTCACACACATGCTCTCCAGTACAGGTTAGCTCTGAGTGTTAGCGATGCTAATGTAAACACCGACCATATTACGTCCAAAACAGTCAGGCATTGTTTCTGATAGCAACGTTTCTGATAGGGCCGTGGGTGTAAAGCCAGCCTACATTTCCGATATTACGTCATATCGGACGCAAATCTGGATCAGCTCCGTTGTAGCCCCGTTTTTAGAGATTTGGGTACGGAGGAAAAGAGAGAGGGTTTTATTTTCTGACGCTGCGTGAGTTCCCCGACACACGGGGACACATATTTATGTATAGAAGACATCAAAAAGTGCATTTTGCATGATAGGTCCCCTTTAAGTTTTAGTGCTTTAAAATATGTAAATATTACAGGGGTTTTTTCTTTCGTGTATTGTTTATAAGTAAACAGATTTTATAAGATTTTTAAAAGGATTTGACTTTTATTACTGGACGTCAACCATCTCTAAAAGACAAAAAAAGAAACCCATAAAATCCTGGCTCCAAAATGGTAGAATGAGCTCCCCATTGACATCAGGACAGCAGAAAGCTTACACATCTTCCGGCGCAGACTAAAAACTCATCTCTTTCGACTCCACTTCGAGCAATACAATTACTAACAAAGCACTTATATACTAATAAAGGACTGGCTTATCTAAAGCTAGTTGAGTAGCACTTGAAATGTTTTGGCTCCATGAAACCTAATGTACTTATCTTACTTCTGTTTTCTTCTAGTTTGTATCTTCTTGGTCGAATGCACTTATTGTAAGTCGCTTTGGATAAAAGCGTCAGCTAAATGCAATGTAATGTAATGAAAGCAACTTTCCATCTGACGTTTTTGCTTCTTATCTGGTGGTACTGTAACACGAAGAATGAGCAAAAATCCATCCAAACACTTCGCAGTGCGTTATCTTTGAAGTATGCAGAAATAGCTTATTTCTGGACCTCTATAAGGAACCGTTTCAAAGAGCTGTCTGACAAAAACATGTTAAAGACACAATAAGTATGATTTTCTCAAAAACCCAATGTATAAACTCCTCTCAATCATCACTTACAAAACACTCGAAGTTCTACGAATGGATTCTTCTTGTTTTTTCTTTAATTTGTTATTTTCTAGGTGTTTCTGGTTGTTAACTTCTATAAAAACGTTACAACACAGTGCCAGATTTTAAGCATGCATCCTAAAGCAAGAAACAAAAATGGCGGACACCGTTTCAGATTTTTTTTTTTTAAATGGAGAGAAGCCAAAATCCAAGCAGACAAAGCTTATCAACAATTTTAATTTAATATCAGAATCAAATGTTAAGGAGTGGCTTTTGTTAAGCAACATTGCTTCACACAATGGATGCCAGCAGGAGATTCTCAGGAATACTGAGCTGAAAACAAGTTGGGGCATTTCGGAGGAAATTGGGTTGTGATTCTTAACTGATGCAAGTTTTGATAAGCCTTTTAGTCTTCTAAGAAACTATCCAGATGGCTTAATTTAGATAAATATTTGGAGGTTAAAGAGATACATTTATCAAATATTTGTATCGTGTGTCCAATGTGTGAAGCCTAATTTGGATTGTTTTTCTCCCACTAATCATCTCATATCTACATCCTCCATAAAAAAAAAGATAATGTTAAACTTCACTAAAATTGAAGATTAAAAGTAATCCCTTACGTCCTATATCACTCACATAAAATATGTTTTATTTCAAATATTTTAAAGCGCATTATGCTGCATCTTGAAAGCAGAACCATTTTTTGTTATGGAATATTTTCAAATGGTGTTTTATTGTTTTACTCAAGGATCTGATTAAGAGACCATGCATGTCTGTGTGAAACAAAACATTAAATAGCAACATAAAATAAGAAATGCCAGGTTTTAGTAACAATCTGGTAAATGTGCCTAGTCACCAAATCCACATAATCACATCCTATGCAATGTGTGTCTTACAATCAAGATGAACTGGTTGCTGTTCTCACAATGTTCAAAATGCAATTTCAAGAAAGAAACACAGAAGATTAAACTTTAGATGATATGCTGAACATGTTGTTCCCAGAAAAGGATGTTCCTAATTGCATTGCATATTTTCTAAAATGACTACCGATATGAGTACCATCAAGGTGAACACATGAAGAAACAGACTGTGGAAACTTAAGAATGATAAGTTTGTGTGTCATATATTGACTAATCAATGACGGGAGTTGTCTCCCCTCTTTGTACCGCACACAACGGGCCTAATTGGTTTGTTCTTCTGCCAGATAAGAAATATGCATGCTAATGTATTCAATCTGGGCGATGGCTCTCAGAACTGATTTCACATGAACAATGATGATGAAGAAATGTAAATGCCCACATTTACAGTAATTGGTCTGGGAAACATTGTCTGCATTGTCTGTTTTGTGATGCAAATTGTTTACATTTGGGGTTGTCTATAATGTTGGGCAGGGGAGATTGTCGTACATACTTCCATGTCATTATCTCCCCCTACTTAACCTTTCAATAGAAATCAGTAGATTATACAAGCAGCATGCAAGACAAGTTTGCATGTAAATAATAGCATCGGGGGAATGTCCTTCCTTTGATCTCGTGTGCGTATTCCAATGAAGTTATGATAATGGAGCTGGGTTACACGCCTGTAATTGGCTATTGAATCGGATAATCTGACATCAACTCTTGTCATGTCTAAACCGTGTCCAGCATTAAATAGGGGGAAAATGTGAAATTAAACTTTATGTCAGAGTTTGGAGAATTTTGAGACTGACAATAATTGTTTTGAATGTCAACTCCTAATATATTATGAAATACTGTCAGGATTTAAGTAAAAAATAGTCCATTCAATCAAGTCTTGTCATGTCTAAAGCGTATCCAGCGGTAAATAGGGGGGTGAAAATGTGAAATTAAACGTAATGTCAGAGTTTGAGACTGAGAATGATTGTTTTAAATGTCTACTCTATATAATATGAAATACAGCTTGGATTTCAAGCAAAAATAAGTCTATTAAATGAAACATGAGTAAATTAAGACAAGAACCCATATCAAATAAATTAAGGAATAAATAAGTGACACAAAGATGCTTTACATATGTTATAATAATGTAGACTTTAGCCTTGTATGGTAATATAGATGTTCATAATTATAAAAAGGCGTACACTTTAATTGAAAAGTTTTAATATATTTTGGACTAATCTTGCTTTAATATTAAACTTATTTTTATTAAATTATTATTATTACTTTTTTTGTGAAACTAATCAAAGGTAGGATATCATGAAGATGATGCTTTGCAGTTTTCCCCCAATAACTCAAAATAAAAAAAATGTGCTATAGCACTAGCCACCACGCCGGTCGTGATGGGGCCCTGCAGACGACCACCGGAGCAGAGGAGTCCCCCTGCCGCAGATCAAGCCACCGGGCCTTGAACCTGACCCCTTTGGGACCATATAGGGCGAGCTTGTCACATTGCATCCCCGCTGGCGCATTGTTTCAGCAGGAGTCCCTCAAAGCCCTGAGAGGGAGATAGATAGTGTGGCCGTCCATCCAATAAACCGCCTCTCTCCCCTCCACGATCCCCGCGGTGCTCCCGGTTTTGACACAGGAGACAAAACCCGCAGGAGAGGACTATGAATGGTAAAAGCACCGAGGAGGCCGAGTGAGAGCAAAAAGGAGGCGGCGTGGCTTTGTAGTCGAGGAGGAATGCGGAAATGTCCTCGCTCCGTGTCAAACCTCTCTGAAGGGGGTCAGGCCACATTCAGCCGGCGTGGGAAAGCCAGGCAGAGACGGAGCTCACAGGCGAGGAGCGGGGCTGCATTGCATAGGCCTATCCGGGGATATATGGAAGAAAAAAAAGAAGAAAGAAAGGAGAAAATCCAAAGAAGAGCGTGGTTTTTGGAGGGCTGTATCACGCGTTTGCCTTTGTCCTATGACCCCCCCATCCGACACCCCCTTCCCCTCCACACCCCCCACACACACACAAAGTTGCAGTGAGAGTGTGTGTGAGTTTTTCGTGCACCACCTCCTCCCCCTGCTTCTCCTCCTCCCTCGTTGAGTGTCTTTGCCTGGGCTGGTGCAGTCTGAGGGATGGGGGATTAGAGCCTGCACCGTCCAACTACCTGTGTGGCCCCCGCATGGAGGACAGTGGACAGGGATGCGTTTGATGCAGGACATTTTTATCCGAAAAACGAATGCCTCCTCAGCATTTGATCGGACATGCCGACGTTACGACACTTTATTGACAACATAAACCAAGGTAAACACTGAGAGTGGGGGATATTTAAGCCGAATTGTGTGCCAAAATGTTTTTAATCAGGCTAGAAATGTTGCATTACAATCCAATATCATTTTAGTAACTGAAAAGAGCATTTCCCTGGCTTGCTAGTATTTAAATGAGCATTTTTGGGTCCACGCACAAATAAATTAGAAACAATTAGAGGGGGCTTTCCACGCTAATGAAAACACCTTTAAAACTCTGCTAATGCATTGTTTTACACGTTAACAACGACTTGTGGTTTAAAACGAAAGATTTAAAGTGTTTTAAAGGACTGTTGCTGTAGGAAGTCCAGACAATGCAATCACTAGACAGCCACGTGCTCGCAAAAGTTTGTGTCGCCTGAAACAGAAACTTTGATAAAGCAGGACACGATAGGCTAAACTCTTGTTTTTATAACAACTAAACACAGCTTCGTTTGTTAGGTTTGTGCTCTTGTTTGTGTGTTCTCTTTAAATGCTTAATTTCCCTTAACAAAGTGAGAGAGCCCACATGAACTGTAACAGCGTTGCATGTGCGGTTATTTCTGAATGCGTGTTTATTTGGTGCAAAACTATCTCAAACAACGTGGTTAAATGTGGCTAATTTGAATTATTTTACATTACTTTGTGTAAGTGGTAGGAGGACATGAGTTTCAATGCGTAACAGGAGGAGGAGTGAAGTTGGGACGCAAACGGGGCTCTTGTGTTGATAGTCGGAATAAAACATGATGACAGTCCTGTTAATGCGTACCTGGAGCCCAGTTTGACCAAAACTGACAAAGATGGTGTCTTCCTCCATCTGTGTCTCCCTGTCATCTAGGCATTGCATGTGCCAACTTTTTTCTGTGAATATGCCTTTGTGAGAAACTCTCCGTCTCGTCACCCTCGCCGGGATTCCCCTCAATATTTTCACCGAGAGACGAGAAAAAAAATCAGCAAAAATGGACAAAGAAGGAGCTGGTACTCAATATGAACCCGTGGCCGAGATTGGAGAAGGCGCTTATGGGAAAGTGTACAAGGCGAGAGATTTGAAGAACGGGGGACGCTTTGTAGCCCTAAAAAGAGTCCGGGTCCAGACGGCGGAAGAGGGGATGCCTCTCTCTACCATCCGGGAGGTGGCGGTACTGAGGCAGCTGGAAGCCTTTGAGCACCCCAATGTTGTCAGGTAAGTCAGGGGAGAGGTGGGTTGCCATGTGTGTGTTTGTAGCCTATGCAGACAGTGTAAGATAAATGTATTTTACGATAGAAACACACACTACTTTATGTTATATGGTCTCATGTGTCAACCACACTGCCTCCTATGACCTTTAGGTTAGACAAACACTCATACTGCCCACTGTTTTTGCTTCAATTGTGTTATGCTGACTCTGTGAAAATGGGGGTTGCATAACAATGTGTTGCCCCAGAACGTGGGCCGTAATTGCACACCTTTCAGAGCAGAACTTTTTCCATTTTCATCAACCAAGTCTGTATTGTTAGTTTCATTTCTAGTTTAAAACCTCCCTTTACATTGATGGACTTTAAAAGGTGTTACCCCACTCATCTCTGGCTACATCACACAAACGCCCCCAACAAAATGCTGGGTTGCAGAGTTATTTGAAGTATAATATAATAAACATGTGGAAGTATTATAGTGTTTTAGGTTGCCAATACTCAAACGCAGTTATCAGTGATGAACGCACCTCAGCCTCATCCTATGGCGTTTTCAGCCTTTCTAATAATTAGGCCTTTACCAGTCTACACAATCAATTACGTTTTCATATACCTGGCATTTAATTCAAAGTAGCCTAGAGCTGCAACTAAGTGCTTTTGAACTATAATTTAATCTACCAATTATGTTCTCAACTAATGGGTTGGTTTATAAAACGAATAATAGTGAATACATTCCAAAGTTGTGTTTTTAAATGTCTTGTCTTGGTAATTCAACACCCAAATATAATCAGTTTGATTTGAAGTTTCCTATTTTGGATGGTTGAAAACAGCGTTTTCGGCTATTTAGCATTAGATAAATTACTTAAACGATTAATCAGTTTAACAGGTTGAAGCTTTCCTTTTGATGTTGTCTTGTAATTCATTGTGTTGTCTGTAGAATGTATTTAGAGAAATTACAACATCAAAATGTCCTAGACCCCACCAACGTCACAATTTCCCCAACAGAAAACCCAAGGTTATTCAGTTTAATATCAGGAAAGGCACATAATATATTCATATTTGAAAGACTGCAGGTAGTTAAAATGTAAAATTATACTGTTGGCAACTTCCTATTGACTTATTGATTAAATTACAAATCATTACAGCTATAAAGTGAGTGCCTATTTTAGAATATTTGAACGCAAGCACATTACAAGTTTGAAGCGTTTTTTATGTTCAATGCGAGTGTGCTCATCAATACTAATCTCTGCTGTCAAAGTGCCCTTTAGCCTGACTGTCTCACTGCTCACTTACTGTAAGTAAGATTGGATTCACTGAATAAACTCCTTTTAGAGACAAGTTACTAACAGCCTAGCTTCCTCTATGCCCCGCTGACAGAGGCCATTTTCTTTCAGTTTTGAAATGAATTGTTCTGCCGGAGGTCAGCAGTCAGATACTGCGTCACATGTTGGCACCAGCCAAGGATCTGACCTTGCTTGTGCTTTTTTTTATTTTGGAATATGGAGGGCTGTGGGATTGAAGGGGGAATCCCTAAATGAATTTCAGATGCATGTCTTGTGCTTCTGTGCATCTAACAATAATTCCCCTGTGCATAAATGAATAGTAGTGGATAATGGTTTTCTGTTAACAGGGTCACAATTTGCCTTATTTCTTACTGACAGACAAATAATGAATTGGGAATATGTTTTCTTAGGTCATTTTTATTAAGTGGTTGAGCACTCTTTGTGCACTATTGTGGAAGCATTAGTTGTAATAATATGCAGGGCTATTTGTTGCAATAAATCAATTCAAGAGTACAAACCATCTGCTCTTTGAACTATCAGAGCCAGTTTAGCCAAACAGCATAGCAAAGCAGTCCAGGCCAGGAAGGGTGCATTGTGGGCCTTCTGTGTGACTCCAGGCAACCCCTGGATGTTAGTAATGAGGCCCATTATTCATTCCATATGTTCAGTGTCTGCTGAGAGCCCCCATTGTAGCCCAACAATCGAGCCGTGAGGGGCGTTTAACCCCAGCGCTTCAAGAGGAGGGCGCCATTTATTCTGTGACATCATGCACAGTACTAATACCTTGAATGAATCGCCTCTCACTGACTCCAGTATATCCAGGTCCGCTGATTACAAGGGTGTTGGCAGGAACACACGATGCCTCGTTGGATAGGAATGAAAGCGTTTCCGCAGAGATTTACTAATTTCTTCACATGCTTCCATTTTAAACAGCTTATGTAGATTAGCTAGTGATTTATAGTAACATATGCCCCGAAAAAGTATCACATTATTGGACAGACATTGAGTTGGGCCACCATGAATTGATATTTTCAGCGATATTCATAATTGTATCTCTTTTAGCTATCAATATTGACTTCAATCCAATCAAGCGTTTTGAGGTTGGACGTTTAAACTGCGATACCCTCAACATTTTACATTTAATAAAATGTAAGGGTACCCATTGGGTTGGCACTATTAAAAGGCCTGACCAGAATGTATAACTTATTGTTTTATTGGGTCAATAAATATATTGCAGTCACAGGTTAAGTCTAAGTCATGGGAGATAAAAATATTCGCCTTTGTGTTTTATAGCTTACAAATGTAATCTGTCTTTAGAAATCAGATTTACCATTTCATTGGCTTATTCATTTAGACAAACATTCCATACTTTAAAGGGTTACAGTAACCCATTATTTTGTATCCTAACACAACTTGTCAGATAGTAATCCATCATGGCTTTCTTCGTCTCCTGTGTTGTGGTGGGGAAAGATGCTGCCTCTGCAACAGCTACAAGGTCCACTCGACTTCCCATAGAGCATCAGGAGTTGTCATAGTGCTGGTTGAGGAATGCTGCTTGTGGTCCCCAAGCTCTTTGAAGGGGACATACTGGATAGCTTTTTTCAGCTTTTCACCAAAGCCTGCCTTGGCAGGTCTGCCGAAATAATCTGGATTCTTGGCCTTAGTTTGTTGCCTAGTGAAACACAGCCATAAAAGCTGGTGTTTGGGGCCTAAATCTTTTAAAACATTGTAAAGAAGTACTTTTTCCGTGCAACCTAACACAATGTTATCAGAGTTCCAGCCGCACAGCATAATTCTGCTCTCCAAACGTGTACATTTTGCTATTGAAAGTTTCTTTAGAATAACCATAGCCAAGGGTCCAGACACAGGTTCTTGTCATAAAATTCAATGTCTAAGAATGGATGACTCTTAACTGTCCAACCACCATGACCTTTCCAACCCTCAGATGTTGAGGTTTTACTGGAAGTTTTTTTTTGAGACAACATGTCCCTTGTGTCTTGTATATTTTGCTGCATCATAGGCTTTTTTTCTCATGCAGACATTTTGACCAGTCATAGCAGGAAACACATAGGCGTAACTAATAACATTAACGAGGGCTCCATTACATTAAGGTGTTCCAGTAAGTCGTAAGTCATTAAAAATGTCATTAGTTACACCTCTGTTTGATTGACATGTCTACTGCTGGGTACGGAGTAACTCTCGGTCACTCTGTTTGCTTTAGACAGCACACAATTGTAGCTTTCTTTAATTTTGATTGTCCCATGTGTAAAATGTTTTTATTATACAAGAGACTGCATTTAGAAGCTTTTGACAGGGGAACCAAAAAATATGTGTTCATAAGCAATCGTGTTACAACAAAGTCAATGCTTTGCCTTTGCTATCTGTGCATATTACTATCTTTTAATTAACAATGCATCTGTCACTATAGAGCAGGGTACAAAACAAAGCACCATTTCCTAGCTAAATGCTTCTAAAATATACAGATTGCTCTTTTTATATATCGCCCCAAACATAAAAGTAATTATCTACAGATTGATTGGTCAAATGTGAACAAAACAAAAAAGGACATTATGTATTCCTCTACTGAGTAACGTTTTTAAAGTATATTTTGATAATTTTGAAGATAATGAGGCAAAACAATTAAATGCATTGAAAAAGGAAGAATACGCAAACAATGAGGACATGATAGCAACGGGATATTCCGTCTTATTAGTTGGATTCAGAAGCTTTGTTGCAGCATGCTGAGTGGCGTTGACTAATTGAATCAATTGTGTTGATCTCTTCCACCTGTTACTCTTGTTCTAGGTTGTTCGATGTGTGTACAGTCTCTCGGACTGACCGAGAAACCAAGCTCACGCTGGTCTTTGAGCATGTGGATCAGGACCTGACCACCTACCTGGAGAAGGCCCCTGACCCCGGAGTACCGCCTGAGACCATCAAGGTACCACTGCCATTGTTAACTTGAAGTACTAGAAGATCTGTCTTTAATGGCTGTGTGACTTGTGATTGCTTCACTATTGCAACATCACTGAGGAATACACAGTTGATATTTGTAGAAAGCACATTAACTTAATTTAAAATAAATGTTTACAGTTTCATTTAAAAATACAAGTAGTAAGCTATTGGCTAATACTCTTGTGTCTCGCAGCTGTTCTGTTTAGTAATGAGTGGGTTTTCTTAGCCAGAGAGGACAGAGTGCAGTTCCCTTTAAAACATCAGAGGTACCAGAGCATTTTGAAGGGCAGCACATGTGGCAGATGGGCTCCAAATTAGAGGCTCCCAGCCTTCTCTATTTTCACTCTGCCCTCTCTTTCCAAGTTTACACTGTATTACAGAGGGTAACAGAGAAAAAGTGTGAGAAACTAGCCTTTCAAATGGCCCCTTTTTTGGGATTAAAAATAAGTTAATTTAAAGCCAACAATACTTCACAGTGGTTTGAATTTACCAACTAAATTCAACAATGCTATCGATTTCTCTAATTCATAAAAAAAAATTCCCTGCGTTTCCATTTACAATCTGCCTAAAGGTCGGAAATGGACGTGTCTTATTTGAATCTTTCCCACACTCGTACCTTTTTCAAAATCACTTTATCCCATTTCACCCTAAGGTCGAAACCTGTATAGTGTATAATATTGAAGAGATATATTTCTATATTTAGAGAGGGGGCCCTCAGAGTTTTAAGTGTCACAGTGAAACGGAGAAGTTCTGGAAGCTAGAATAACCATTTGTTTTCACCCCAGGGTCCGTTTTATGTGTGAACGTTTTGTGTGGAGCTGTAATATTTGTGATATGCTTAGTTTGCAAGCGTAGACGAGTCAGGTAGATCACACCTGAGGCTTTCCCCAGGTTTTTGCTGAAGCTAAAACTGTGTATGAGACTTAAGTTTTCTATCAGTATCTCACAGAGATGGAGTACTCGAGTCCTGGACTCGGACTTGAGTCGGACTCGAGTGCCGATGTAACTATTTAGTATATGTTAATTTATTCGTCATCTATCCTACATGTGTGTCAACTTAAGTGTTTACACTGCTCCGTTGTCCATTAACTTCCGCTAAAAGTTCCTTCAAAATAAGATTCCCGATCTTATTACTATCAAAATAAAAGTGCAAAACGAAAATATTGGCATACAAATATAATCACTTCTCTAAAAGGTAACCCATTTTAAATATAGTTAGACATATTAAAGGTCATTTACAATAATAATAATAATAATAATAATAATAATATTAATAATAATATTAATATTAGTAATAAGCTTTATATTTGTATAGCACCTTTTATACAAGAATTGTAGCCAAACTCGCTTCACAGCAGTTCAATAGACAAATTAGTATAAAATGACAGGATAAAAGCAATGTAGAGGAGCTACAGCTACATTTCAACAAATATATCCACAAAGATTAATACATGAAGACTTGTGACTCGGACTCGGACACTCCTTGGGTGACTCGGACTTGGACTCGGACTCGACTCCGACTCTCCGTGACTCGGACTTGAAAAGTGGGGACTCGAGAGTGACTTGGACTCGTGAATTGGTGACTTGACTACAACACTCTCTGTGCGGTTATGATTGTTTTGATCATGATTTTAGGCTCCAAATATTGCACTGCACATGAAAATGTTTACCTGCCAATGACAATTATAATTTGTTGCATTTCTGTCAGTGAATGGATTTGTTGAGAGAAAATGTACCTGCAACTAATACATTAAGTGTTTGAGGTATTTGATTATTATGAAGGATTTTTTTTTATGTCACCATACTTAATTTCTTAGCTTAGGTCAGTGGTTCTCAAACTTTTTCTGTCAGGCCCCCCTTTTGGAGAGAAAAAAAAAGTCGGGCCCCCCCCCAACACAAATAGTCACGTAATGGGCCAAGTTAACATTTGTTAAAATACATCAATATGAACGTGAGCGTTCCTTTCAAAAAAATAAAAAAATCACTTTGCTAGAACAGTGATAATAAAACAATGCTCCATAAGTCTGTGTGCTCCAAAAAATAAATACATAATACAATTGTGCAACCCCTTTGCTAGAACAATAAGTTATAATACTTTGCCACTTTGCAATCTGTGCAAAAAAATGAAAAGAAAGAAAATGCTGATATTTGGCAAAAAAGTTTGTCTTATCACAGGTGGTTGCAATGAGCCTGTTTTGCACTGCACATTTCTTCAAAACGGGGTTGCAGGCTCAGTGGCGGCACCAGAGATTTTCTTTTGGGGGTGCTGTGGGGTAGCTTGACGTTTCATAGAGGGTGCACAAACATGTAGGCTTCCCCATTAAGGTACCGGTCGCTACAGTGGAATTTTCTACTGCAACAATCCACACGAAAATACACAGTACACCCGCTACTGTTACAATGAAGGCTCGATAATCAGCTCACGGCATATAGGTGTAAGCAGGGGTAAAGTGCTATTTTTATAGGTGGTGTGTGGACCTAACATCCTCCAGGGGGGTCCGGGGTCATGGTCCCCCGGGAAGATTTAAAAAAAATATTGAAGTTAAAAGCATCAATCTGGTGCATTTTCAGAGCAAAATGAAGAGATCTATGGATACATCTCTCAACACCCATATGAAACAGAACTGTAAGCAGATTTTCTTTTTCTTTATGGATATTTTACAAATCACTCAATCATACCTGTTTTTCATTTATTCTCTTATTTTTGTATACCTATAATGATCATATAAACGTGTGCCTTGGAAATAATTGTTTACATTAATCGTGACCAAACCGTTTGAGACCCACTGAGATAACTTAGACTAAAGTTAGGACTCTCCTCCACCTTGTTGTTGAAAAAGCTCCTTATACCCGTTAGTGTAGCTCGCTAGCACCAGACGCACCAGGTATCTAATACCTAATATATATATATATCATTCAAATAACTTGTATATAGACTCGTACTGCACTATTCCACATCATCACTTTATTTTATAACTATTTTTCTTTTTGTATTGCTCTTGCTCTTATTGTTATTATGTTATTATGTTGCATTGTTGGAGAAGCCTGTGACATAAGATTTTTCAACTACATAATTACTCTGTAGCTATGTCAGATTGACAATAAAGAACCTTGAACGCTAACAACAACGATCTCCGGTACTGGTGCGCTCTCTCTCGCTCGTGCACGCACACAAAATGGCTCGTTCCACACACACACACACACACAGAGCCGAGCTTGAATGAAACACAGAGACCCAGACATACTTGTACTGTACTGTAGCATATAATTTTTTATTTTTTTGTCATAACTATTTTTCCTCCTGGTCTCTTGTGCCCCCCCCCCCCATCATGCCTCTGCCGCCTCTTGCTCCTGGCTTTTTTTTTAGATAAAAAACACATTTTAGAAAATAATTGTTATTGGTCTTTAGTTGTAACCATTTTAATGTTCATGAGGTGTTTATTTGTTACTCGGACAAAAGAAAATGAACTGTCACTTTTGATAATTGAGTAATCAGCCTCTTTCTTAATGTAGCTTTGCTGTTAATCATTAGGTGCATCCACAATCCAAAGATGTTTTGTTCTGAGGCAACAATCAAGTGCAGGGCTAAACACCTGTTGTCCTACAAAATGGTGAAGCACAGTATGTGTTCAAATGGGGACCTCGGCAGATGTTTTTGGAAAGTCTATTTTTGGCACTTGATTGTACACACAAAATGAAGGAAGTTAAGAAGGAAAAAAGACATGAAATGGATGAGAAGTTCAAATACAGTTTGCTCTAATAACCCTGCACACCTGGCTAGTTGCTCTGCGAAGAGGACATCTTTGTCAGTTTCATAAATAACCCAACTTGTTAAACACATCTCTCCCACTAACTATGATTTTGGAAAAGTTCTTGGGAAGAGGTTTCCAGCACTGTACAGAAAACACTTTGAAGCATACGGCCCCCTTATAGTCCCCCTCCTTCTGTTGCTTTCTCCTAACATCCATACAGCTGAGGCCTTGAGGGGACAAAAAGACAATGATCAAGTGAAGAGATGACACAGGCACCATCCCCTGTTATTTCTAGGACAGTGGACACTGCACAGTAACACCCCCCTTCCCTGCAACTTAATTTGCCCTCGGCTAAAGCAGATGACACCAGATAGGGGATCAAAGTCCAGCAGTCCCAAGTTTATCAACTCTGTGCACATCTCAATAATGTATTATCTTTTCTATAGTGTCACCCTTAAAAACCCTAACCCAAAAAACCATTCACCTTCAGCCAAAGACCAAAAAAACAAGCATACTTTTCCTTTAAAATCAATGCACCCCCAGCACCAGGCACCCCACTCTGCCCCTGTCCTTTTTGGCCCCCCACCCTCCACCACCCACTCAGTCTTACTCAGACTCAAGACCCACCACATGGTCATTGATGAAAGAGGTCCTCCTCCAGGAATCAAATGAGCTGGAAGGACATCAAGGAGCCGCGCTGCCCCAGCCTCAGTGCTCCTCCGCCGGGCCAGCGCTTGGGTCTCACCCACCCTCCTCCTCCGCCATCGTCCAAGCCTCCACAGCTCTATTCTCTGGGCCCATAAAGGGGGGAGGTTAATGAAGCATGGGGAGGGAATTACACTAACGCTAACCGGCAGATGTCCCATATTGTGCAGAGCTACAATAAACAATATGGCTGCCTCTGGTACATTTGCATTAGAAAAGGAGGTGCACTCAGAAAGCCATGTTTTGACTGCAACTACTTTTTTCCTGGTCCTCCTGCTTTTTCTGGTTTGGATCTGTTGTCTTTTTTGTGTATTTTCTGTTTCCTCCTGGCCAACTTGTTTGTTGTTTTTTAAGTTTGGAGTGCTGCCAGTTGAAGACAGTTGTGTGTTGAGCAAGTCTTGTGCTGCTGAAATCAACTTTGTGAGGCTAAAAGATTGTTCAATGTGGTCTTCGGTGCAACATGTGGTCCTAAAACTTGTGGCAGTATTAATTTAGCTATTCTTAAACTATTATATTATTGCATTGCAGTTCCAATATGCTGTTGAACATAGGTGGAATGTCTTCCCATAACTCAGTTGTGAAGGTAATCGATACAACAGAGATGATGACACTAAGGCCAACGGGGCCACGATTGTTTGTGTGTTTGTCCAAGAGTCACACTTCTGAGATAATTAGTGTTTACTAGGAAATGCTGCTGAAAGGAAGCATGGTGAAATGGCTATTTAAAGCGTAGAGGAACTGATGGAGGGTGGGGGTGGGGGGGCATGCTATTGTGTCAACCCCCCCTCCACACACACACAAAATAACCAACTGCCTGCCTCTCTCCTATGACCCTGTTTGTCTGCTGCCCTCTGTGCTGGGTCATGGCTGGATGGAGATGTAGAAAGGAAGGTCTGTTTATGCATCCTGCCTGCCCTTGGTCAGAGGACACACACACACACGCACACGCACGCACACACACACACACCCTTACACAGTCTGAGGTGCCGCCTCTCACAAATAGAAAAGTAGACACATATTATGTTAACGCAGCATCAGAGGGACACCCAGTTTGTGTGTACACATCACTCCCCATCTCCACAGCATTGTGTGGGGCGTCCCGTCTCTTCCACTATGGCCGGCACAGCAGCCAGCCCCGCGCCGTTTGCTAATGTTTTCTGCTTGAGTGTGCAGACCCCTTTGACTCACTCACCAGCTGGTCGGCCGCTGAATAGAGCTGCGGGCTCAGGTCCATGTCACTTGTGAGGTCTTGGCGGAGGCTTTTTGTGGTTTGTGTTGGGGGCATTTGTGTGTGTGTTTTGGGGGGGCTGTACAGGCCAGGATACAACAAACCCCACCAGCATTGTAGCATTTCGATTTACAAATGACTCTCTTTTCTAACAGACTTCAATACTTCCATACGCAGACTACATATTTATCTGTTTGGGCCTTTGGCTCTACCTAGACTTCATTCTATCGAACAATCCAGACCATAGCTCTGCCAAAACCGCCAGGCCACAATCCCTTGTAATGACATGTTATTTGTCTACAGGTGCGGGACCTGTTTTGAGAGTGGTTCGGTATGAAAAGAACAAGTCTAAGCTGGTTTTGTACATAGTTCATCTGTGTTACTTGTGCAAGTGTGTCATGGACACAGTGAGGTCAGTTTTTGGGCATTAAAACAGAACAAGCGCCAATTAACTCGGAGCCGGACAGCTGCTGAGAAACAGAGATCCATGCTTGTTCAGAACGGGGCCTCTTCCTGCCTCTATCATGAATGTGTGTCAGTTATCAAGCATCTGCTGCAGTCGACAAGAAAAGACACAGGCCTCCTCTAGTTAACTCCCTCCATACCATGGTCTCTCAGCCTTTAGACTTCTCAATGCAGGGTCTTTCAGGCCTTTGCTTGCATGGTTGACATGGGAATTAATTTAAATGTAAAATTGAGAGGTGTGGGGTCATAAAGCCATCTGTCTTTGACCTTTTGAAAGGACAACTACGACTGAACGTTTGGAAGCCGAATTTGTCACATGACGCTACCTTTTTAAAAAAGTGTTATCATACTTCAACCATCTGGGGTTTTTGGTTTCTTAAGTGTCACACTCATTGTCATTTCATCAGCACGGGCACAATATCGTAAAGCTTAGATCATGGCATATCATCTTCACTTTATAGATTCTGTATTTCTGTAATGTCTGTATAAATCCCCCTCCCTTTCTCTTCTTAGTCTTTCTGTTTTGTTTCCTACAGGATATGATGTACCAGCTGCTCCAGGGGCTGGACTTCCTGCACTCGCATCGCGTGGTTCACCGTGACCTGAAGCCCCAGAACATCCTGGTCACCAGCGGAGGTCAGATCAAACTGGCCGACTTTGGTCTCGCCCGCATCTACAGCTTCCAGATGGCCCTCACCTCTGTGGTGAGTGATGTTGTTGATATTTCTCAACTCAGTATGGCTCATCCAATAGTTCCTTGAAACGGAGTGACTCAAAACAAACAGTCCCAAACCAGTGATCCTACAGGTTCACAGATTGCGGCCCAGAGGCTATTATTGCTGGGTCAGAGACACTAATAGATTATGAAAGGGTCATATTGATCTGATATATTGGTTTGTCACAGTAGGGTTTGATGCCCCTGTTAACATTTGTAAGCATTATGTTCTACATCTTATCCTTAGTCTTGTGTTTGAAATCTCAATACAAATGATTTAAATCTTACTAAAGCAGTGCATTTGATGTATCCACAGAGTCTGAAGGTTTTTAAAATACAAGTTGTAGCCACTATTACTAGATGATATAGCAATCAAATGATATATTTGTAGTTAAGCATGTGTGTTTCGAAACAGGGACATTTATTTTGAGAGTAAACATCAAATTTAGATGTTACATCGCACCCGTAAGTCATTTGTCCCCTCTTTTTTTTATGTAAAGATACACATAACACGAAAGATAAGTGACAAATAAAATCTATGCAATAAGTATCAAGTGAGATAATAACAACAATAACTCAATCGATGAACTTGTGCAATACAAATTAACTTTAATTACCCCGCTCTTTCCTTGAAAATGCACGCTAGAATATTTTATTACATTATCAAACGAATTACTCATTTCCTTTTGCACATTACTCACCAAAAACATTAGTGTGTGCATGTATGCTTCTGTTATTGCAAATTAAAATGTTGCAAGCTTATGCCATTCTCAACCCCACACACACTGCCTTGCACTACACTCCCATCTCCAGAGAGTTAGATGAAAAGCATCTAATGTGATGGAGGGGGCACTTACAGGGCATCAGCGGGTAGCTCTGCTGCAATGTGCCAAATGATAGGGTTTCTCTGTGTAAAGTGAGAGCCAAGGGCCCCCGTGGTCTGTCTCAGGAATCCCTCAGTGGCTGCTGCAGACAGGGATGGGACAGACGAGAAGAGACAGACACCCCTCCCTTTCCACAGTCGGCACTTTGATGTCCAACTGTTGAGCTCTGGGCTCTGATGACCAGATAAAATAGAGAGGGAGACTGAAAGGGGTCTTTGGAAGAGCTTGAAATAGGGAGAGATGAGACTTTTAAGATTAAGTTAGCCAGCAACAGTAGCTCTGTAGCTTGTTATATGACACCATTTACTAAAGAGAAGAAGGTTTTCTTATTGGCCCTCACATTCAGACGGATGTATGCCTTTTAGCTTCTTTTGTTCATCAACCTGACAAGTCTAGACCCCTCTGGTTTTATTTTTGTTTGGGTATTGTATGGCAGTCTGTATGGAAAATCTTCAATTTTATACGTTGTTTTTCAATGGAGGATAACCTTTTAGCATAGGCTTTCTTGTTAGTTTTCAAATAATGTACCCCTAACAGACAAAACATTTTTAACACTGATACTAAATTCACTGTGAAATATACTGTGCCACGAAGACAATGCAACTTTTTTTATGGCAAGTTAACAAAGCTCATGGGAACTTAAGTCAGGCTCATCAAAAAAATGTGCAGCATATGGCCATCTGAAGTCAATATAAACATCCTTTGGGTGAAAAATGCTAACTTTAATTCTATTATATTGTCATTGGGCAACAAGATGAGAAGCCAGGCTACTGACATGCATACTGTATTTCTTGGCAAAGGAAGAAATGACAAGGAAAAGTAGTCATCGTGGGCTTAAAAAAAAGGTATGAAAGTGAGTGAGGAATTACAGTTTTAATTTGGAATTGTTCACATATTTGATCCCAGATTATTGCAATGTAATGAAGGTGTTAATGATAAAAAGTGAATATGAGGTTGCATTATTAAGACAGCAGTTATTAGGATGGACTGATTAATATCTGCATTAGAATTGTCAGACATTTATTTTCTTGTTGTGATCATTAGTTTCAAAATGTAGACTTTATTTCTCTTTTTCCGTTTGAGTAATGTGTGACTGTGCATTAAACTGTAATTTCTCCTTTTTTTTTAAAAACATACTTTTTTATGATTCACATAAAGAGTCAGTATGTCTCCCAGGTCATTTCAGTAAATGATCATTCAGATTGATGAAAATACACCCTTACCTCTCATAGGAAGACGTACCTAACCAAAGCATTTACATAATGTTACATAATGTTACACAATATTAAGTGTGTGTGGTTTCACTTTGTGTAGTTAAACTTCATTTATGACTAGACGTGACACTTTTTCTCGAGGGAAGAATACTTAATGGGGAATTCACCTTGTACGTGTGAGCCACAAATCTCAAGCCCCGAAACCACTCAAGCACACACAGAGGCACTTAACATGACTGTGTTTTTGCACAATCTCACACACATTTATCTCCAGACTGGGCCACAAATGAGATGGAGGTAAAGTGTGAGTATGCGTGTGTTAGTGCACGCATGCTCTCGTGCTGCAATGTGGGCACAGGATCTTTGCTTCTAGATTAATGTTCCTGTGTCTGGAAAACCCCTATCAGTCCAACACACACACAATCTCCATTCATCCATTCAGTATTTCCTCTTGCTAATGAAAGCAGATAATCTACACTGTATGCAGCGCACATGTTCACCAATACACACAGCATTTAAGAGGATCTTCCCCTTTGCCCAACAGACAAGCAGTTGCTTATTTAGTCACCTAATGCCACCGTTACTGGCAGACAGATGGGCTTTGGAGAACTGCTGTTGCTTAAGCGAATAAGACACTTCTCTCTCACTTTCAAAGTGATTCATTTAGCACTTCTACAATGACAAAATGGCTGAAGTGAGCATTTGCATAACTGTGTCAAAGAGTCCCTCGCTCCCCCCTCTAACTGCTTATCTGCTGATAATTTACCAGCATTGCTTGAACTTCGCTTTTTGAGATGACTTTGCTTTCTCACCTAGTAGCCACATGCCGAGTTGTTCATGTCATTTACAAAATAAATGTAGTATTTGTGTGTATAGAAACGTGTGTGTGATGGAGTCTGGTTAATTTGCACATGCATGGTTGCGTGTGACTGATGGCCTCATCGGCATCACCCGCCAACCATGTTGCACATATTTCACCCTCCCCGAAAGAGAGGGAGCGGGAGCTAAGGAGGGAGGGAGACCACCCATTGGGTTGGTACTGGGGTCCAGATTAGGCCGCCCCTGGCAGTCCCTGGAGGTCCGTTGCTTTGTTGATGGTTTTTTAATGACCCCAGTCAGGCTACAGGCTCATTGTGCTGCCTTGAGTGACAGGCAGATGGGAAAAGCTGATGGGTTAATCTGACATACCAGAAAACAGAGAAGGGTCTTTTTTCTATCCATCTCATTGAGATCCCATTTCTGCTTAAGCGGTCCAGGGGAAGCCGTTTCTTTTGATCTCCTTTTTTAAATTTGGAATAAATGCAACAGTAAAACCCAAAAGTCTACAGTGTTACTAAAACTCACACAAGTTTAAAAAAAAACTACTTATTAACAACAGAATACTGTTTATAACTTGGGCTTGATTGATCAAAGACCCAAGGAAATCTTTCATCGTTTGACTTGAACCCATCCAATTAAAGTAGGGGGATACATTCCTAAAACATCTTAAGTATCAGTATTAGCTTGCCAAGGGTGCAGAGTTCTTGTCTAAGTTCTCACTAGCTACTAACGTTGGGAAGAAGTTAGATGTAGCCTAGGACTGATATTTATTTAGACCTGCTGAAAATTCGTCCACAGGCATGGCACCATGGCTTTTGAGGGGAAATCCCTTTAGCAAAGCCAAATAACTTGGAAGATCTCTCTTTTCCATCTATTACGATTATTCATCATGTATCATTCGAACACTATAAACAGTGCAATACATTCATAAAACTATGACTTAACTTTGCCAGCAACTTTTACCTTTATCTACGCCTCTTAGTGGCAAAGATAAGATCCTTGTGACTATGGCTCCTTTCTCTGGAAGAGGACTATATGTTATGTCAGGTGAGCTTTTCCAAAGATAACCTAAAGTGACCGGAGCTTGGTTTGCTTTTCATCTTCATCAGCAACATATTGGCAACCTTTGTAACACAAGGCTGACAGGATGGTCCCATGAAACACATTAGCTTCCGCTCACATTCATGTCATGTGCATGTCGTTGCCTGTCAAATTTAGATTTGGAAAACCAAGGGGAATGCCACCAGTCTATTGTGTTAGCACTTGTTGTTTTAACTCCTGTTTTTCTAGTTTTAAACCAAATAAACCGAGGGGTTGACATAATTCACAGGCGATGACTAGATAAGCTTATTAGTGGAGAAACATGTTTTTGTCTTGCCTCCGAGCTTATCTTAAGTGAGGATGTTATTGAGTCAAAGGGAATTGTATGACGCTTTCCTGACTTATTCCGCAAATAAAACATGTCTTTTATGTGATCAAATGAACCAATTATTTTTGGCAGTCACCGTCATAGTTTCCTGTAAACTCTGTTAGTTGGTGACGTGCAGAAGAGTAAAATAGTTACCTGATTTAAAGGTATTTTCCCCACTCTTTCCCCTAGTTCCTCTGCTTATAGCCCTCCCACTACGCTTACCAGAATAAGACACCCATATCTCAGACGACATTAAACAAATTGAAACCAGATTTCCTGCCCGTGCTCAAACAGCGGACAGGCTTTTACAATATAAAGCTTTCAAGGGCAGTCTGGATCTGTACATTCATTATGAATGTGTTTCCTATTTAAAGCACTAACTTGACTATGAATGTAAGTTAACAATCTGTGGGTGTTGGTTTAGGGCAAGTGAAGATTGGTGTGTTCTCACTTATCACAGTTTATTGCGAGATAGTGTTGATTATGCACATGAGATGTCTTAAAGTTGGCAAACCACATGCTTTTTGATGTTAGCTCTTTTCGCACTTGGTTTTTATAATGAAGCTTTATTTACCATTTTTACGTTAATGATTTTGAGCAAATTTCAAGACTCACAAAACACTGACATGCTTCACTAGAATCCCTTGTAATGCAACAGTCT